ACAAATGGCTAAAACATGAATTCCATCTTTTTGTTCTTCATATTGTTGTTTACTGATGTACTGATATCTGAATAGCCAACATTAGCTTCTTTTATTCACCTACTTCATCCAAAGTTCACAGTAACAAGTTCACCTCCTTAAATATTTGACCCTTACCACTTTTAAATACTATCAACATTATCTACTTTCAGGCACCTTTGGTCCAAAAACTTCTAGATCTGCCTCTAGGTATTCAAACATATCTACGAATAAATCCACTGCTTTACTAAATCATATGAATGAGATGAGTGACTGATGAAGCATAGTCAAAACTTTTCATTCATAGCGAAAAACTGGCAAAAACAATATTAGAAAAGATCAAACAGATACTAGGACAATGAAATGGATGTTAGTCAACCTATAACAACTTTTTTGTTTCCTTTCTTTTCCCCTATTTTGTTCTTATTAGTGTAACACATTGAACTGGATAACTATTTTGGGCTTTTGTGTGTTTAGGTGCAAGCACATGGAAGTTAACCAAGTCTTGTGTCTGCTAAGGAGAAGCCATTACTACAACTAGTGAACGGTTACTCGGTAAGAAGTCGGATCATGAACATATCATTATCTTATTACCCGTCCAGGATGAAGACTAGCAGTGTGAAAGGAATCATCTGGAAGAAGAAAATAGACACTTCAAAGATTGTTCCTTTTACACTGCCGTTTTTGTAACAGTTTATCATACGAACTTTGTACGTACTATACGATAGTAAATAAAAAACAAGCAACTCTTTAAAGATACATGCCTCTTTGGTACATGTTTTATCACAGCCATTGCAATGGCAGGATAGATAAGTTTTTTTGGTATGTTCAGTCTGACTCTCAAGCAAAGTGGAAATAAAGACAGGGCGGGGTCCGTGACTGTCTAACATGTAAACAGCAGTCAAAATGAAGCCTTAAACAGTCGGAGGAGATACTGAACAGGACTGACTGACCTTTAGCTGACATATAAAGAAAAACATGATTATATACATGTCTACTTAGCCACACACAAACACAAAGGCCATAAATAAGTCTTAAAAAACTCAATCATAACATGGCACAAAAGAAAAGGTAAAACATAAGCTCCACATGAGTAGGACCAAAAAGGGCCATTTTATGAACAGAAATGCACAATAATAATATGGAGTGACAATGTAATACAAATAGAAAATCAGAGAGATAAAATGTAGCATAAATGGAAGCATAGTTTCATGAAATTATTTAGCAGCAAAGAAACATACTACATCCATACCAAAAAAACTATACCCATTTTCCCTATTTGAACGTTCTAAAAAACACTTTCACACTTAACTTATTTCCTTTTCTTATCAATGAACATATGGATTGAACGATTTCTCTTTCATATAACAAATTATAACCATCCACTTTTATTCAACAAGGTGAAAACATGTGAATTTTTTTGGGGCGAAAGAAATAGTACAACTTTTTCTTTTGAAAACCCCATTTTATAAGCAGAAATGCATACTAACAACAGGTAAATACACTAAATGCAAAAGGAAAGTTAAAAGGCAAAAACCCAGCATAAACAGAAGCAAAGTTCCATGAAATTACACAAGACTGAAAACAACACACCTAGATTCCGGGTGCAGAAAATGACACAGAAATTCTAGGGCAAGTCAGGACCAAAACACACGAATCCAATGCCTGATAATCGCGCGGTGACAGCCTGGGGATGAGATTCTAGGGCAAAACCCCCCATCGAGTGGGGGTTTCTTGAAGAAGGAGATTTCGGAATCTCTCTCAGGAAGAGTACAAATTGACAGAAATGAAGTTAGGGGTTGCTTTTGAGCACTGAAGATAGGACTTCCACTCTTAGCGAGTGGTAGAGAAGAGTGAGGTGGGTTCCAAATAGACGGATGTATCGCGGAGACGACGAGAATTTTACGGGGCTCCACACAGCCAAAAAATTGAGGGATATTAGTTTGAATTTAATTCTCCTCTCACGCGATTGGGGACAGGGGGAAATGTAGAAGGATGAAGATATGTATACCCCACATTTATATCCAAATTTGTACCTGCAGATTTGCATCAATATTTTATAGGGATGTAAAACTAATTTTTGTTAATGCACCAACACTTTGTGTCCGTGTAAATTTTTGTTAACGCACCAACACTTGTATCGGTGTAAACCATCAAAATGTTTGTGCATAACTATAGTGTACAAATGGGGTACATTTTTTTGTGTAAGTGTAGCATGGTTCAATGTCAAATGAGTTGATCTAGTTTGAATCGTGATTCGTGACCTAGTGCCATAATGCGAGACTTTTATTATTCGTGACCCAGTGCCATAATGAGATTATATCATGATTTACCCCGCTTACAATCTTGTCAGACCGAGTTGTGGGACGCCCGGAGTGAGCTTTCCATCTTTGTCTCATTAGTCATTACTCTTTGGATCAAACTAGTACTCCATAATTTCAATTTATTCTTTTGTTAATGTTAAATGACACATAGGTCATGTTCTCCTCAATTTTTTTAACTTATAATTTATTTTTATTAAAATTAGATCAGACCAAATCAGATCATATCGGAAACAGTTTTAAATCTAACTATATTCAGATCTGATCAAATCAAAATTTATTCTAATTACATCAGAATCATTCACATTAGGTGAGAAGAGTATGGCCTTATACCATATCTAAATATTTAAAATATTCTATAAAATAACTTTTATTTGTAATAAAAAATTAAGTGAGGTATATTTATTCCTCCATCTGTTCCATAAAACCTTATCCCTTTCGTTTTTTCCAATTCCCTAAAACACTTTCACTTTTTATTAAAAACTCACTTTTACCCCCTACTTTTTCACACTCTACGTATCACATCATACGTTTTCACTAATAACCAAACTATCATATCTTACTTTTACCCATTACCTCAGGGGCAAAATTGGAAAGTCAACTAAATTTACATTTTTCTTATTTTGGTCCAAAGTCAAAATAGGAAGTGTTTAAACTTTAATGAAACAGAGGGAGTAGGATTTTAGATGAGGATAGAAATATTTTGTGTGATACATAAAAGAATATGATGAAACTGTTTTTCAAAACAGAAAGGATATCTTTATAAATAGGGTAGTTTTATTTGCTATTTGTTTAAATAAAATAATTAAGTCACATTTATTGGCCATGCGTGCAGCAATTGTCCCGTGGCGGAGGCTATGTGGGCCAAGTCACAATCGAATGTCGTGGGCACTATTTTGAAGCTTCCTCGAATATTCTGTGTAAATTATTCTAATGAATTTTGTTAAGTACAATTAATGATTTGATTTTTAAATGTTTGGAGACTTTATAGTGTGTGGATACTAATATAGTAGTAACTCGCTCTGCTAACTCATTGGTTCGGGTTACGCGGGTTGGGGTGTTATAGATGCTTCGTTGGAAGGGTGGTCATACATGTATGAATAGGACAAATTAAATATATGAGAACTAAAGTTGGAGTGACAGCTATAGTAAAAAATATAATGAAAACACATCTTTGGTAGTTTAGATATGTGGAGAGAAGACCAGTAGATCTAAGAGGACTTGACAAGCAATGATCAAAGAGAGACCTTCGCATGAATGATCTCATAGTAAATATGATACATGATACAGGGCAATGACGTCGGTCGATTCATGTAGTCGACCCCACCTTCTGAGATAAAGCTTTGTTGTTGTTGTTTTGGTGGTCTTCCTCCCCAACATACAAATCTTAAAAATTGGTTTCACAACAATCATAAAAGTAATAGAAGCCAGATTGTAATTTTAGTCATCCTCCAATGTACTTTGTTAATTAAATATCATCCACGGTCTACCAATGTTTGCGGTTCCATAAGGTTGGGAGTCCAACACTCCAACCATTCTGGGGAATAGTAGCAACATTCGCTTTATTTGTTAAGATTTTTACTCAATTTGTCCCATTTAAATTGCATGTTTGCCTTTTTTTTCTTCGTCCCAAAATAAGTTACATGTTACTTGTTATTGTAAACTTTTAAGAGTAAAATACCTAAACTATCCCTAAAATAAGTCACTCTTTTCCACCTTATTTTCTCATTCATCGACACCCCTCCTAAAAAGTAATGACAATTTCGAAAAATCAACTATATTTTTTATCTTCCTTAAATATGCCCAAAAGTCAAAACAGACAATTTAAAACAGGATGGAAAGAGTAAAATGTAATCAATAAACTTAAATCAAAGTTCTTAGTTGTATTTTTCATTCTGAATTTGATCAAAGTTCTTGAGACTTAAATCAAAGTTCGTAGTTATTGGAAGAAAACCAATTTTTTTAAATAGCCAGCGGACCAAAATATGGCCGTTGGCAACATTTAGCACCGAAAACAAGTGGGCATTCTGGGCAATGCCCGTAGTTGCCTTCAAGCCACATACATCACGCCTCCGTCACGCTGCCTATGTAGCCAACATCACACCGTGACGGGCATGACCGGCGATCCCACTATAGCACATAGCCTAAGAGTTTTGACTGTTTTGTTTGGACGGCACAACTACAAAGTGCTTATTCTAAAGATTGCTCAAAGTGCTAAATATTAAATGTTTGGACGGCACAACTACAAAGTGCTAAATATTAAATGTGTTGGTAAGTTGGCACAGTATAACACTGCACAAATTAAAACAAATTAGAAAAAGATAACCAACGTTGACTTATTCTTAAACTACATGTCTACATATTTGGAACAAAAAAAACAGTTCGGTCGCTTGCATTACTTTCTTAACAGTGCCTCAAGTGTAGAATTTTTGATACCTAAAATCGTTGTCAAAAGAACAGTGGGATCATTCCAATTCAACCCACAATTCCATATTTACCCCTCATGGCCAATCTAACTAGTTTTGACACTTGCAAAGTTTCTCAGTCCAACTTTTACAATCCATCTTCTGTAAGAAGATGCCATTAATGGAGGCATTATCATGAAGGGAGAATTGTGACAACAGATCACAGGTAACATTAAAAACAATACCACAAAGACAACATAATACTAAGAAGTAACATTAAAAAAGATCATCAGACAATATAAGTTCATAACATAGGATCCCAAAAACATTCTAAAAAAACATAACAAAACTTGAGACATTCATTCATATCCTCATCAAGAGGAAAGCAGAAGAGACATCTAAATAAGCCACTGGGACGGCTCTAATAGCTCACGGAAAACCCAACGGAGTGCCAAAATCGAAAACTCGGAACCCTTTTTTTTTGTAACTCAAAATCGGTACGCGAACTAGACCGCGTACTTTATAGACGAAATGACGAGAAAGTCCCTACATTAGCTGCAAAACTTGTTATTCTGTGTTTGTTTCTCCACTCAAGTGCAAGAAACATTGAGGGGTGCCGCTCCGGGCAGAAGTGGGGGGGTGTCGTCCATTGCCATCATCCACCCCTCTTCGAAGTTGAAGTCGAAGTCGAAATCGGGCAGCCCGGGGGCAGGGGGCAGGTGGTCCCCGCCGTCGTCGAACCCGCAGAGCGGGATGCCATCAAAGTCGCCGAGGGCAAAGTCGTCAAAACACGCAAAGTCATCGCCCACCAGCGCCACGTCCAAGTCCATGGCAAAGTCCATCCCTTCGGCAATTTCGGCCAACGAGAGACCGTCTCCGTCCCCTGTTTTCTCAATTCCGATAATACCCCCAGCCGTCTTCTCGGGAGGGGAAGTGGAGGAGTCCATTTCCGCGACAGAGGAGCCAAAGCTTCCCACGGATCCCTCGGAAACGTGTGGGTCCAGACCCAAAACATTGTTGTTGTCGCCATTGTTGTTGTTCTTAGCCATTGCTTCAAACTCGAGACGCTTGGTCTCATAGGCTCTAGAAGCTTCCTCCGCGGTATCATAAGTACCCAACCAAATCCTCCTAGACTGGAACGGATCACGGATCTCAGCAGCCCATTTGCCCCATTTCCGCTGGCGGACGCCACGGATCTTGGACGGGTTGGACGGGCAAACCGGTTCGGGGTTTTTCCCCAAAACCCTCTTCTTCTTCAGGTTATTCCTCTTGGCCTCACTGATGCTGTCTTGTGAAGAGGTGCCATTAACCTCTTCTGGGCGACCACTCTTCACCAAATCATGTGTCATTGGAAGCAGGACTTCATGGACAAAGCGCTTCCCTTTCTTCCCTTCAGACCATTCATCATCCGAACTATCCGTCGCATCCGGATCATCACAAACGATCCGGACCCTCCTCATCCGAATCCCGAGTTCGGGTCCGGGTCGGGCTTTCATTTGCCTGCCCACAACCCTCGGACCGTTACTCGACACAGATTTTCTCTGGGGAAACATCATCTTCTCCTCAAACACTTCCAAGAACAGATCTCAAGAAAACCCCTCTCTGGTTGAACAACAATACCAACAAGCAATACTAACCAAAAACAAAATCAAAGAACCCTAATAAATATATATATGAATCTATGACCGAAAAGATATGCCGGGTGGGAAAAAAGGCTCTCCTTTGAGAATCAAGAAACGCCTAAGGCTGTATGCAGAAAGTAGTGTTTAAGAATCGTTTTATGTGATACCCTCCAAAACACTCCACTCCAGAACAAGTCCTGCAAAACCCAGAAACCGATCTTCAATTTCAAACTAAGAAATCAGTACTAAAAAAAATCAGAGTCCAAAAATGGAAAAAAAATCAAAAGAGGGTTTTGGAAGGGGAATTTCGTCGAATACCTTTTGGGCCTCAAACGCATCGAAACGGACGGGAGAAAAGAGGCGTTTCTCTGCTGGACTGAACAGCAGAGGAGAGATTTTGGCATACAGAGATTGAGAAACGCAGAGGAAACTGATAGCCAGAGCTTCTTCAGCGATAATAAAGCCCCAAACAATAAACCCAATCCAAACCTTGCCGACATAAAATCACTTCCCCTTCTTCTTCTTCTTCCTCTTCTTCTCTGATCTGCCTTCAAAAAACCCCAGATTTTATCGAAAACTTCGGATCAGGATAACAGAATTAAAACCAAAACAAATCATCCCAGATTTTTTTTAAAAAAAAAAACCCCTTTTTAACATCTATTATCAGGGCAAAAATGAAAAGATCCGAGAAAAAAAACAGCACAGATTACCGATGAGAGACAGAGCAGATGAATCGTGTGGGAAAATCAAAACGATTTATACGAGATTAAAAACATCATTAAAGACTAATTGCCTGGAGTTTTACAGAGTGATACGACGTAGTACTACTACCTTTGTTTTTCTCTCTCTATCTCTCTCTTTCACACTCTCCCACTGCCACTGCCCTTCTCTTTTCCCAACCGGTCAAAACAATGCAATTGGTGGGGATATATAGTCGCAGAACCTGTATCTATATGCGGCCTATACATACACACATACTCTCTCCGTACCTAATTACTCAATTGCTCCCTCCTAAAATTTTCTTTTCGGATCACTATTCACACGGTCAAATTTTAATCATTTTCTTCAGTTATTTAATAAATTAATATAATCATGTCACCTCATGTTTCGTAAAATTTTTTATGTTGATTTTAAATATATAATTTTATCTTTAATTTTACATTTATAATCAAATAAATTGAATTTAAAATAAGCTCTGTCAAACTTCGTATACGGAAGAAAGTTTTAAGACAGAGTAAATAATAATCTTCTTTTTTCTGTTTCAAAATAATTGTCCTATTTTACTATTTACCATATAAAATAAAATATATATGGTTCTAATTTTTTACTTTCATCTAAATAAATTTTAATTATTTATTTAAATTTTCCAAAATCATTTTTAATCTTTTTATAAAAAATCAAAGTAGTACGATTAATTAAGAAAGAAGGGACACCGTCCACAAATAAACTTCTCATTTACTATTCACATGGTCAAATTTTATTCACTTTGTTGGCCTATTTTCGTTACTTATTTTTTAATTTTGTAGATCTTTTGATATAGTTTTAAATATATAATTTTTATTTCAAAATTTATACCATTTTTATTTTTTATATAATATGATTTGAAAATAACTTTACTTAAACATTGTAATCCGCAAGGAGAAGTTTATTGGTGGACACAGACACATACTATGTACATGCAGGGTCTTTTATGGAATTGTACGGTAGTGTTACTATGAGCTGGCATCCATACATGATGATCATACAAACCATCCATCCACATACATACATGCGTCCCATGGGACCCCGATCGTTCACTCTCCTTCTCGGCGCGTGGTTACCACGGAATACTTGGAGCGCAAGAGTTTTTTGAGTTGGAAAAGTCTAACCTATGTGGAGAGTCATGCGGCTAATCACCTATGTACAAGGACAGCTAATGTTTTTTTATGGACGGAAAAACAGAATGTGGTTCCATTAAATTACAGATCTGCCACTGAAGTACCCAATTTTGGGAGTAATTGGATGTGATTTGATTTCGTTAGAACTTAATTAGATTTACTCTGATATGATCTGAATCAATTATAGTTATATTTAAAGTTGTTTCTAATTCAATTTGGTTATATGATATTTTTGATAATAATAAATAATATTCCCTCAATTCTAAAATTATCGTCACGTTTTTGAAAAAAATTGTTTTTCTACACATTTTTATTAACCATGTGATATAATAAAACAAACATATCATTATTTATTTTGTAGAACTTTTGATATATTCTGTAGTTTTAAATATATAAGTTATACTTTGTATTTCTATAGCAATTCGTAAAAATAAATTATTTTAACAGAAATAAGATCTAACACGTTGTTTGAAACATGATGTTGATTTTGGAACAAATGAAATAGGTAATAAAATACTACCTCCGTCCCGCTATATTCGTCTACTTTTGACTTTTGGAACTGTTCATCTAAGTACTTTGACTCATCAAATTTTCTCAATGTGTAAGCCTAAATATAGTCATGTATGATCTTGTTTGATTTGTCTTAACATATAGATTATTAATATATAATTCTTTATAATTTTTTAATATACAAATTACAAGATAAAGTGGATTAAAGAAATGTATTGGATGGTGTGCAAAAATGAAAGTGGACAAATACTCTGGGCGGAGGGAGTAATATGAAGAGAACATGCTCTTACTTTGGCACGAAATTAGTTTTACTTCCTTTCTTATTCATCCCAAAATATTTTTTTAAGATTTTCTTTTCAATATTAAAAAAAATATAGTCCAAAATAATTCTCTCTTTCTGAATAATTATTTGTATTTTAATATGGAGTATACAATATTTCTTACACTTAAAAATTTCTATGAAACCAAAGTACATAAATTAATTTGAGACGAAGAAAATATGACATCTGGCTTGATTTTAACTAAAATTTGAAAGTTAGACTCTCAAATTTAAAAGTGGTGAATTTGTTGCACACATCGGTTCGAGATTGGTCGTAGTTTGATTCTATTATTATTGATTGTAAAACTCTCTTAACCTCATGTGATGGAGATATTAGTTTTCATTTTGTTTTTCGTTATACTAATGAAACAGTGCATTTGTTAGCGTGTGCTTCTCATTCCTCTCAAAGCACGAGTAACTTAGTTCACTATCAAACTTTATTTCTATTGTTATTTAGAAAGTGTTTGGGAGTGTGGTAGCTTTTTTGAAAAGCAGAAGTTTTAAGTCGAAGCGGAAAACAGATATTTTTAACTTTGCATAAAAGTACTTCTGGAGCCCATTTTATACTACAGAAGTTGAAATCTATAAGCAGAAGCAGATTGACAAAAACGAAAAACATTATTTTAGTGAAGCAAAAGCTCATAAGCACTGTTTAAACGCAACCCCAAACGCCATCTTAACACTCCTTTCGTCGCTTAAAACACTTTTTTGTTTGAAAAATGCCTGAAATGTACGTGTAATTTTTGTGTTCATTTTTTAATAATTATGACTCATCTATCTTACGCTTTTCACCCTACTCTATTACTCCCTCCGTCCTAAAATTAATTTCCAATTTTTACTTTTGCAGTCAAAGTTTTTAAACTTTGACTGTATATTACGAAAAAATATATATTAAATTTTCATATAAATTTAGCATCAATAGATTCATTTTGAAACATAGTTTTGAAATATATTATTTTGATAATATATATTCATATAAAAATGGAGATAATAACGGTCAAAGTGCTGCATTGAAGACCGTGAAAAGTCAAATGAGAAGTTAATTTCAGGACGAAGGGAGTATAATGTAATGACAAAATCTGAAAATAGCGCCATAATTATTCATTTTAAAGGCACATATTTCTTTAAATAAGAAGAGATTTATGGGACGAAAAGAGTATAAGCCTTGGTTTTAGAAAAGGGCTAAAAATGATAGAGTACTAGTTTTAATTAATTACTTCTTTTATCTAATCACATTCAAAAAAATTCCATTCTAGTCTTCAAATTTGTTCTTCTGAAAATTTGTATATAATGGAGGCAAGGAGAACTGAAGGAGGTTTCATATTGTTGGTCAACTAGTATATCAATTTGTCTCATAAAAAAGTTTCACACTTGATTTGATATAAAGATTAAAGTTAGTAAAAATAGGTGGTTGAAAGTGATGCAGAAGAGAGAAAATTATATAACTGCTAAAAAATCACAAATGAAAAATGAAACTTTTTAACAAATTAAAAAAATACTCCATAATATGGAATCTTTTCACAAGATAGAGGGAGTACATTTTAGACCCCATTTGTCATCAGATTAGCGTTAGCGTTTTGAAAAGGCTATCGGTAATTAGTTTAGTGTTTGGGATAAAATTTTAATGGTATAGATTAATTCTGAAAATGCTAAAAGCTGCTATCAGATATCTTTTTGAAAATGTTAATGCTACGGTGCCTTAATCAGAGTTATTCTTTTTATATTCCCTCTCTTCCAGAAAAGTTCCTGACTTAACTTATCAAGTTTGATAAGATCTATTTTTAGATTAGATTAATTATATGGATATTGGTCTAATATCAAAAAGTAAAATTATATATTTAATTAGTATATAAACGATTTTACAAATGAAATAAGAATTTATATGATTTAACCGTGTTAATAGCAATATTAACCTTCCCGGAAGACTTCAATTACTCATTATTGTTAGTACGGAAGTGTGACGAGAAAACAAGTCTTTTGATTGTATAAGTTTTATTACTGAATGAACATTTGCAATACTTGTAATTCCTTCAAAAAAAGAAAAACGTTGTAATTGTTGCAATAATAATAATAATGATAATAATAATAATAATAACAACAACAACAACACTAATAACAATCTAAAATAAAAGTGCATCGTGTTGCTATAAGGAAATGGAATAATATATAATTACTAAATATTTGTTTTAAGTAATAACCGAAGAATTCTACCATAAATGCTAGGACTAAAATATCGACTATATGCCGAAAATAGAACTTTTTATTTTTCTATCATAATAGATTGTTATATTGTGACAATTTAGTATTGTATATTGGTATTCAAAAATGTTTTTTGGCATTGTATATTGACATTATTAATATTATAATTTTTCTTTTAAGGATAAAAATAAGGAACTATTCTGTATAATTTTGGTACTTTTTAATGTAGAATTCCTAATTTAGGCTCTATTCTTTTCGATTGAAAAAATTAACTTTAACTTAATTCTTTCAATTTCTTCCAACTAATTACCATTTCTTCCAACTCTTTCAAGTTGTTTCCATCAACGACATAAAAAATGTATTTACATATGATAACTATACAATAACATTATATACTCCGGGGTATAATTTATAATATAACACCTCAAATACGGACAAAAAAGAATTCTTTTTATATCTAAAATTAATTTTCTCAAATACTTATTTGGGTAATCATTTAAATAAGTAATTTTTTAACAATTTATGTTTCCAATACTTTCAACTTTTTCCAATTTATTTCAACTTTTTCCTTACTTCTAATATATTTTTTTCTAATTTTTTTTTCAAACATCTAACTTTAGAATTCCACCTCTCACTTTAACATTCCAATGGAAAAGATAGTATTTTTCCTTCAACATTTCGAGTTTCGACACCCTAAAAAGGCGGTGGTAGTTGGAGATTGAATATGTACACGGTACTCCTACACTCTGTAAATACTACGGAGTACATCACTTATAAAAAATTTCCCACCTTAATTTCAAAAGTTTAAAAAGGATTCTAATTTTTTAATAGCATGTTTGGAATATATGAATTGAAAAAAAAACCTTCTTGAAATATATTCTTCTTAAAAGTGTATATAGAATTTCTGT